AGAATTGTTGCAGTTTCTCTCTGTTCGGGAAAGCTTCCAGGTTGCTTTTTTCAAGGTACCCATTGCTCCCTTTCCTTTTGCTGATCTTGTTATTTTGTTCGGTGGTGTTTGCCCATCTGGTAGCCTTTTCACCCCCTTTTCACCCCTTTCACCATGAGGATCTTTTACGGTGATCCTCTTTTTTTGGTGACTCAGTAATGCTCTATTTGGATTAGCGTTAACAATCTGGCATTTTGATATTCCCACTCTTTTCCTATTCTTATCTCGTTTTAGCTCGTTTTAGTTGAAACTTGGGCACCTGCAGGTCCCATTTAGGTAGGTAACGCCTCTGCCATTAATAGCCCCTCTGTGCAGAATCTATTGTTGTTGGGAATGCATTCTTCATTGTCTGACCATCAAAACGCTCGCGCGCGATGTGAATTCTTTTTAGTAGACAATGAATTAACGGTTGGATACACCAATGGCACAAAGGGTAACATACCACGTACTGAAGTTGTTTTCCCTGCCAGTAGTAGATTGTAAATTACGTCACTTCCCAACCTGGATCACCGGTTGCCTAATTGGAACCTTGGACTTGGTTCGGAAGGAGAGGTGGGGATGTGCTTCCCAAACGAGACCTGAGGTCTTGTTTTCAGAATTACCTACAATTGCGCTTCTTAGATGGGGGGTGCTCCTTCCCCGCGCAAAGCGTAAGCCTCCTTGCCCGCCTGCTTTGCTGCGTTTCCACGTAGGGCAGCCAGGGGACAGCCGGTCCCGCCGTGGAGGATGTCTCGCATTTCTGGCAGAGGGCGATTCCCGAGGGACAGCTCCCCTCCCGGGCTCCTTCTGCTCCTCCAGCCTGCGTGAGCAAGGAGTTTACTTTCTTGTCCGTGAGCTTGAGATGTAGCCAGTCGCTTTCATATCCATCGCGGAGGGTGACATAAAGCTGGCATAGGCTAAGAGCCGTGAAGTGGCATTGGCCGAATGATGCGCCACTTCTTCACATAGTATCGATGACCGTGTTGGTGGCGTTCCATCCTTGGCTGGACGACAGCTGAATGAGATGATCAAGGAACGCTTTGTAATACTTGATCCCCTTGCAGTTGAGCGTGGCCACGTATCCCTCGCTGCTCCAGGTGTCGGCGAGGCTCAGCGGATAATCGTTCCTGACGAGGATGGTGCGTTTTTGCTCGATGGCCCGGCGCAGGTGTTGTTCCTCCACTTCTTCCACATCCGCTTGAGTTCCCGTAGGTCTTCGTCGTTCTTGCAGGTTGTGACCGAGTTTCGGGAAGGCTGCTGCCATTTGAGGTCGGGGGCACTTCCTCGTCGTCGACAGTTTGCGACTGACGGCGCGAAGAGTAGAATCTCTGATACTCGCTGTGTAACATCGTCGCGTTCGCCGGTCTGTGTCTTACCTGGTAGGGACAATACATCTAGCATGGTATTGCCCAATGTTTGGCCGTTCGCGGACTGAATCCTTCTGGGGCCAAACCTTTAGCGAGAGCTGCCGTGCCTTCCTTAATGGGGATACTGTAGATCGCGTCCTTGTCCTTGGTAGACGGTCCTTTCCGAGAGCATGGTGGGCGGGCCGGCTGGGTTACGTACCACTCGACTTTTGGCGGGCTCGGGGCTTCCCATCGCCGGATCTCGTCGGGGGCCGGGGCGTTGTCAGCCGTGTGGGCAGTTCGGCACTCACCCACTCCCATGCTTCGGCGGCCGTGTTGCGGGCACAGGCAAGAATCCTGTCACTGGCGAACGGCTGCATCTCGCGCTGTTCGTTGACCACTCCGTATGCTCCGTTGATTCCGTTCACATACCCGTACCAAAAGCGGCTGGTTGGACTGGATGGTACTCAGGGGAGAAGCTGGGTGTCGGCGGAGCCGTACCGTCGCTTGTCCCCGGGTGCCTATCGTCGAAGTCCTTCCTGCGAGCTTCGGCAGCGAGTGCTTGTTCAATGCGTCGCTGGACTTCTGCCTCCTGCTTGTATTGGCGGTTTCAGCGGCTTTTGCTCGTTGGGCTCCGGCTGCCTCATGTTCACGTAGCAGTTTCTGAACGGCCATCTGGTGGCCCGTTCCTGCTCGTAGTTGGCTGCCGCGAGCCACTTCTCTTCTTGGGCGGTCTCTTCCTTTGCCCGTTCCTGGGCGGCCAGATCCGAGATCTTTCGTGCCCTTTCCGCTTCGTTCAGCGAGCCTTCGGGGGTCGTCTTGCGGGCGGGGATCTTCTGTTGACTGGGGATGGGCGTGCTGAAAGATCCACCGGTATCGCTCGAGAAGGTCCCAGCGAGACCGGGGACTTCTTCGCCTTCGAACGAGATCGACCCTCCTCGTCCCTTGGTGCTTCCACTCGAGAAGGCTCGTTTTGCGTCGGGCGATCCCATGTTTACAGTTTCCACCTTGAGCCCGGGAGAGCGTTCAGCGGGTCCTTCCTGAAGCGCGGCGTCATCCTCCGCTCGCTCTTTGGCTTTGAGGGCGGCCGTCTCATTATGGGCAAGGGCGGTGCTTGCGATTCCGTCAAAGTACTTGCCATTGCGTCTAAGCACCCCTTCAAAGGAGTACCCTACCTGGTTGGAGTGGGTGGCCCCTCGGTGGCCGCCTCGGTTACAGTCGACCCCACGGTCACTGAAACAGACGTAGACGGTAACCTTCATGACGAATCGGGCTCGGCAAAACGCTTCCTCACACACTACTCGGCCGGTGTGCAAAACCCCCATCTCCCACCGGACCCTAAGGAATCACACTGTGTGACCCGCCCTGGCGTCATCAAACTCTAGTCCATGCTTACTTTTCTGCAGAGTAAACTTGGAGAGGGAGGCGGTCTCTGTCGGGCAACAATACTTTTTCAGGTTGCGGACGCTCACACTAATTACCCCCCGTCAAAAAGGAAAATTGGTGTCGGGCGGCTGCAACTCTGGTCAGAAAAAGTGTGAACCTGATTTGTAGCCGCCCGATTAGTAGTCCTTCTAGCTAGTCATCAACACCACATAGGCACACCACCTGTGCACCCGACACTTCGGTCCGCCACCTCATCCTTGGATGGGTGGCTCTCCCGGATTCCTGTCCGTCAGTCTCCTTATGGTCGGCTCCCTGTTAACTCATACTCTCCGTTCTGTAGAATCTATTCATTCCCTGTCTGGGAAGGTGGGCGTTTTCACATGTTTTCCAAACAGTGTATAAATGCAAATTTTGAGCACGGTTTCTAATGTTTGGTAATTCTGTACATTTAGGTTTTCTAAACTAAAAAGCTTGGAAAAAGTCAAAATCCTTGCTCAATTTATTACAAGAAATAGATTATCCATGTCTCGGAGAAAAAACAAAATCCATGGACTAGCCAGTCGACGTACGTTACCGGACCACAACCCTTGTCATCATTGAAGACAGATGCAAAATTTTAATAATAACATTCTTTCAGAAAAGAGATTGCCTGGACCATTATTGAACCAGCCCTCTAATCCCTGCCACTACGGGCTAGAATTATTGGAGGGTGCTGCTGCTGATGCCAGCCAGTGGCCAGGAACAAGTGCGTGAAGTGGTCGCCGACTTTGCCTTTTCCAGCCACGGTAACATTCTTTCTTTGACTGCCTGCTTTGGAGGTACCTTCCGCTCTCTAACTCCTCCTCTCTGTGTTACTGGTACATGTATGCTTGTCCTGGCCGGTTGTCGAAGTCCAGGCACCCACCAGGCAACTGTTTCCTCTTTTGTTGCCTGGATTGGCTGTTGCGTTTCTCACCTTCCATAGCCCGCTAGGTCATAGTACGAGTAAAGGCAACGAGGCCAAGGCGACAGTGTTTTGACTGGCCCAATCCATGCACTCAGCCATTTGATTGCTGTAACAGACGCTTGGGTCATCTATACTAGTGAAGGATCCCAATACCAGTGGGAGAGTTTCAGCGCTGAGTTTTCAAGACCAGCTACACGTCCCCTCCTTCCCTTGTACCACTACATCATGATCATGTAAATCAGAAAAACATACATGAGGTCATACATGCATGGTTAGGCCCTTCAAGAGGAGTCTCAAGACTCAAGAGGTAACACCAGGAGCAGCTCCAGCAGCTCACCAGCTCTGGTAAAACCGTCACGGCGTTTGTACATGTGGCTGCCCCAACAGTTTACAATCGCTTTACAATCTTTACAATGCAAGCAGTTTCAATCTCTCCTTTCTGGCAATCAATGTACAAAGAAAATGTACCAGAAGAGCTGTGGAAAAGACAATGTTTGCCTATCATTCAGTGATCTATGTCCTGTACATGAGCTTCGCTTCCGTCAGTACATCTGCTAAAACATACTTAAAGGTTTCTCGAAGTGTATGAAGTCTCCAGCTTCAAAATTTAGTGAAGTTCACCCCTTTCCACGCCCCTGGAACCGAAACGATCAGATCGACCTAGCATCTGTGTGATAGAAAACTGCATGAACTGCTCAAAGAGTCAGCGTCTCACGTTGCTTTAAGTGACACTTGTAGCTGCAATGTGAATAAACTACCCTTTATATCCGCTACCGTCAATTTCAAATCCATCTGAAAGAGTTTGCAGCAACTGCATCAAACCTTTAACTCTCCCTACAGTGCATGAAGCTTGTCGGTACTGAAAATACTGAAAAAGGGATCGATCAAGAGCGTTCTAAGTGCGAGGAGAATTGGACACCTTAAGAAACTTGGTTAAAATCTTTTGCAGCTTTCCGTGTCGGCTTTGTGCTGCGTCGCTGCTACCCCAACATCGCAAAAATCAAGGTAGACTACCGTTGCCAATACCGAATACCCTAGATCTAGCTAGCTACTACGGTAGTGCTACGAGTACTCTGTACCCGTACACTGTACTGCTACCAAAGAGTACGGAATGGTACCGATAGCGGTACCACCGGTAGGTTGTTGAGCTCCGAAGTGTTAGGCCTCACAAATTTCGATCTGCTCCAAAGCGACATCAAGATCTCTAATCAGTCCAACTCTCATTCTTTCTGCAAAACTCATCACCAACATGAATAACTTCTACCACCTTGCAAGCCTTGGAAAGAACGGCAACAAAGCGCCTCTCGCAATGGATACTGTGTCTGAAGCCCAATGGCCAGGTGAGCACTGAGCATAATCTAGTAGTGGGCTGCGGACCTTCGCGCAACAGAAACAAAGCTAACTCACTCAATTCTTCTGCTTCTGCTTAATTTAACAGGCCTTGCGGCTTCAAGCCTCGCATCGCTTTCTGGATTGAACAGTTTGAGCCGCAATCGCAGTTTGGTGGATTCCCTCTTGTTAAAGGCAAGAGGTCCTTCCCAGATCGAAAACGTCTTCATGGGAAGTTTGCATGCAAAGGCAGCGTCCCAACAGCGCGGAGCGGACTTTTCTTCCTTGTTGACGCCGCCTTTTCCACTCTTGGATGTGCCTTCGCAACGCTCAGGTCCCAGCGCCCTGAGCCTTGCGCTGGCTCCTGATCACGGCATCCCCTCCAGAGACCTGTCTCGCACCTCCGTAGCACCAACAGAGATGTCTCGCACTGCCAGTCTGGCGTTGTTGCGAAGCTCACTCCAAACAAGACGCGCGGAACGCCTCGCCGAAGCTCTCAAGTTGCAACGCGAAGAAGCAGAAGTGGCCCGGGCCATCGCTATCTCGTCCCAGTTTGATGCTCCCGCCAGAAAGCGCTCCTTCAGTTTGGCTGCGATGCAAGAACCCATGTTCCCCTCAACAGCAGCAGGAGCTTTCGACGCACCTCTTGCTCCACCAGCAATGAAAAAGCAACGTCGCGAGGGCTCCTTCCTCTGTGCCCAACTTCCATCCAGGGGCAGTCAGCAATCGTTCTCTCCTATCCCAAGAAGTGAACGATTGGTGACAGAACCATCATCAAAGATGAATCTTTCTCCTGTTACCACTCCCTCCGAATCCTCCACTTCCTCCTCCAACAACTCAAAGCTCCTCTCCATGGCATGCGATGAGGAAAGCTTGACGCCATATCAATGTCTTGCACGAAAACAAATCGAAATCTTTGCCGCTGAAAAGAAAGATGTTGATGCCAAGGGAAGAAATCGGTCCATTGTCCAAGGCCAAGTTGGAATTCGCTGCATCCACTGCGCACACTTGCCCGCCCGGGAACGCAGCAAGGGATCTACGATCTACCCATCCAAGCTGGAAGGAATCTACCAAGCGGCCCAAAACATGGCCAACTCTCACATTTCCAAATACTGCCAGAACATCCCCGTGGAGACTCGTGACAAGCTACTGGCTTCCGGAAACAAAAAGTCATCCGCAGGCGGTGGTAAAGAGTACTGGAGTACTGGTGCAAAGATTCTGGGAGTTGGTGAAAACGATCATGGACTTTGCTTCCTCCAAGCTGCATCCTCCGACTCGTGAGAAGCAAGACGAGCAACCTACAGCAGACAAACAAAACATGACATACAGCAGCGTACCAACTAGATGTAATGATTGAAATATATAATTTTATAATTCCCAAATATCTTCCACGGCATCTTTGCTTCACGGAAGAGTTGTAAACAACGAGTGATTTCTCACCGGTATAGCTATTGAGCTATTGGAAGTGAAAGCATTTGAATGGAGGTAGGTACAAATACTGTCGCCCCGAGACAACTGTGATTCGATTCATAATTTTCCAAAGATCTTCTCTACTAAAGCATACTCGAGTAGTGTAGGGTATGATGGACCAACCTGATGTGCTCCTAATGAGGAATTTTCACTGGTATAGACCAGCACGATACGGAAGGTTGTTCGATGGAGGGAACAACCCCCAACGATCTTCTCTACTAGCTAGTAGTACTACTCAGAGTAAAGCATATGGTACTCGAGTAGTGTACAGAGGGACAGAGGGTATCAACCCAATGAGCACCTATGAGTAAGCTATAAGCACCTATAGACTAATGTGAGGGATTTTCACTGGTATAGACCAGCCCCAAAGCGAATGTTGCTCGATGAAGAGAACAACCCCCGCGTAATCAGGTATTATGCTCTAGTAGCCTGCGGACATCCAATTGCAGATCGAAGATCGAGACAGGAGGAAGCCCCTGCCCCGGCAAGAAAATTTAATAATGGACATGCCGACGATTATCGGATACACTTGTGTAGCCACAATGTCATAGCAACTCCCCTTTTGAGCTTTGATGTGGCAGGCAGGGTTCGCTAACCGGTTTTTTCGGTTACCGGTTATTTGCCATTTGGTTACCGGTTGAATGATTTGGTTACTCAACCGGTAACCGGTAACCGGTACCCTAGCAGAACTGGTTACTCAACCAGTAACCAGTAACCAGTACCCCGTCGACTGGTTACCGAACCGGTTACCGAATCGGTTACTCAAATTGCCCTTTTGGTTACCGAATCGGTTACTCAAATTGCCATTTGGTTACCGGTTGTTTGATTTGGTTACTCAACCAGTAACCGGTAACCGGTACCCTAGCAGAACTGGTTACTCAACTAGTAACCAGTAACCGGTACCCTAGCAAAACTGGTTACTGGTTGAGTAACCAGTAACCGGTACCCAACCAAACGGTTAGCGAACCCTGGTGGCAGGTGGCAGTGTGGCTTTCCAGCTGTACCTGATGAGTGGAGAAACCAGAATGCAGCGGGTTTAAGGGTGCTCCTTCTTCAATCCTTTGGTCATAACTCAGTAGAAACCAAATGTCAGTATCAAGGTTCTGTACAGTCAAAAAACCTTAGAAATTGAAGTAGATGCTCAAAAAACAAGTTGTTTCCCGTGGCGGCTATGCGCTAGCAGCGCTGGACTTAGAGCTTATCCGTAGAGAACTGCAGCATCCAGCTCGGTAACAAACCAACAAAACAAACCAGCAATTGACCAGCAAAAACCCTGCATACACAGTAATACGCGCATTGCCGGTACTGAAAGTTGCAGTTATTCCTTGAAAAGTGAAGTGAGATTCTACTCGTCATCTCATTAGGCTTAAATAAGGTTGATTTTAGGACCAATGAAGTGAATCGAGAAGGTGATTTACCATTTCTTTCACACGATCCCCTAAGTCACAAAGGATCCTCACACCTGGAAGGGTTCGGCCCTCCTTCGTTAATGAAATTTATTTGTAAGCCTTCTCACAATTTTCGGGAGGAAAAACCAAACAAAGTACTGGTACCAGAAGTGCTTCGACTACCAGGTACTAGATACATGTTTTTGGCTTTGGAAGCGAAGCATCGTTGGGCAATGGACGACGACGGTAGAAAGCGAAAGAGAGAAGACGACGAGAATGCGAGAGACGAAAGCAAAGCCGACGAGGAATGGTTTCGGAGGCGACAACAGCAGGCGCAAGCGCAGGCTGGTAAGCAAAAACGATTGTGATCAATGGGAGTATTGCATAATTGTCGGATCCTTCTGGCCACCTCATTGAATATTTTCTCTGTCCATAGAATCCTTGCGACTCACCTCTGTTGCGGATCAGTTGAATAGGGCTGAGTTGGTTCGCTCGTCGCTCCAGGCTTCGGCAGGAAGTTTGAACCCATCAGCTCTTCTTCCGCAAGGTCTTCCGTCGCGGGCAACGGGAGGGTTGACGATACCCGAAGTGACACTGAACAATGGTACGAGATCCTTTCTCGCTGGAGATGTTTCTGCTTCGAAAACTTCCTTTCTCATGAATTGGTGCAAACTTGTAGCCCTCCTTCCGAACACGGCCTCCCTGGCAAGATCAACCCTGCTCAGAAACGCTCTACAGGGCAACCCCACATGGCCACCGGCACCAGCGGCTCCAGTAGCTCCGCTGAGCCTTCCCTCGCTTGACCCCTCAGCCCGTAATTTGGCAACAGGGTATGCATCCTTGCCATTTTCGTTTTCTTCGCCGTCCTTTTCCGCGAACCCCTTACTCATGGGGAATACCGGTCCGGCGAGTGCACCGAGCTCTGCTCTGCACATGAGCCTATTGGATCAGGTATCAGTTCGACAAAGGCTGAATCAAACTACGTCTCTGCGACAACTTACACAGGAAAGATTCGGACAAAATCCGATGCCTTCTCTAATGCAGAGTCTGTCCAACGACCCCTCTGCAATGGACAATCGTGTAGCACGACTTCCCTCTTTTCAGTATCAGCAGCTACAGCCAAATGCAGCCAATGAACCACCGCCTTCCAGTAGAGCTCCTGTGATGCTCTACTTGCCATGTGATGACGAGAGCTTAACGCCGTATCAGTGCCTAGCACGCAGGCAAATTGAACTCTTCGAAGCTACACCCGCTGATGTTGAAGCAGGTACCCAAGGTCGCAATCGATCCATCGTGCTGGGTCAGGTTGGTATCAGATGTAGGCATTGCAGTGCGCTCAAGCTGGCTGATCGTGCCAGAGGCTCAACGTACTATCCTCGAAAACTCCAAGGCCTTTACCAGGCTGGCCAGAACATGAGCAACTCGCATCTTCTGCAGTATTGTACACGAATTCCAAAAGAGATCCGCGACGAATTGCAACGGCTGGGAAATAAAAAGTCCTCTGCCGGAGGAGGAAAAGACTACTGGAGTGGTGGGGCAAAGATCTTAGGGGTGATTGAAGACGAGCAAGGCCTGCGTTTTGAAAAGAAAAGCCGCCCATTGTAGGCAGCACATTGAACAGGCAGATTGGACGATGGCATAGTTGCCACAGGACCCAAGTGCAAGGCACAGAGCATGTTTGAGATTTCCTCGGATTGCAGATACTTTGTTTTCAAGTTCTCGCTATAGTTATAACGCTGTAACTAACTTTGTAAATAGATGCATTCTTGAACTGTTCCATTCGTCGCCCTCCGAAGCGACAGGCATGCAACACCATCATGCATGTGCAAATGACCCTAACTAAGATAAGTTGTCTGTCCGAGAACTTTTTACTCGTCCTTTGGTGGCGCCTGTTGTTCGACAATCTCGGTACCTTTTTCCTTTCGCTGCAGGGCGTCATCAGAAGCAATTGCAGGGAAATGACCATTCACCACCACAATCTTGATTGGATGAGCCTTTCGGAGGGCACGAATTGTCAAAACACCACCAGTCAAATAGGCTTCCAATTTGGTCAGATCCACAGTGCGAGCGTTCAATCGGTATGAAGTCTTTGTCTTCCTGCTTGGTCCTCTGGCCTGGTGACTTTCTCCAGCAACGTGAAGAATGCCATTCTTCTTATCACAGACAACATTCAAATCATTGGGCCTGATGCCAGGCACGTCTACTTCCAAATTCAACTCCACATCATTGTCCAAAGAAGGAGGGGGCTGCTTTGACACCATCACCTCATGACTGGTGGTTGCTGCTTTGTTGCCACCTTTTGCTTCATCCTTCTCCTTCTTGACAGGCACCTTGACTGTAAGGATTCCCTCCTCCAAGGTTGCAGTGAGGTTGGCATCTTCATCCATGGCAAGACGTCGTGAAAAATGTGAAGCGCACTTTCACGGAATTCCACTTTGAGGTTTCCATGTTTGACACCAGGTAGGTCAGTGGTCAAGAGAAAGTGATCTCATGTTTGTCTTTTTGGTGTAATTCAAAGTCACCACGTGTCGTTGTCATCCAAGGAGCAGAATCGGTGCTCGTGCTGGCATTGTTGGCTTTGGTCACTTCAGAGGTTTCATCTGCGACATCCTTTTTCGCGGCAGATTGCACGTCTTCCTCCTCCTTGTTCTGGACCACCCAGTGGTAGGCGAATGATGGAGAGGCAAAAGAGGTTGGAAGAAGGGGTGGCTGCTGGGGTTGCGCAAGATGAGCATGGTTGCTTGTTTGTAGTTTGTAGACTGAAAGTTTCTTCTTCTGGTTTTGGATTTCTGTTTTTGTGAGCCAAACAATCTGGATGTTTGTCTGCCATGGTGCTGCTTGTTGACCTTTTCGTCAAACTTTGCAATGGAACTTTCGCCCCCTTTCTCTTCTCTTCTCTTCTCTGTGACTGAACGATCTGAAACATAATCCAGTCGTATCCGCCGGCCAATCACAATTAGCTTATTTAACAGCTGGTTCGTGTTTCTGGTCTTTGGCAGGGCAACGTTTATGTAAATCTACTGCAGGAGTTTTCGAGAGCTTTCGATTTCTTTCGATTCGATTCCATTGGAGGCAAACCCAAAACTGGGGGCAGTGCAGGTTTCAAGTGTCCCCAAAGCAGTTGCCAACACTTCTCTTCTCACAAAACAAAACAAAACAAAACAAAACGAAAAACAGAACTAAACATTTCAAACAGCAACACAATGACGACCGTAACAGGAGAATCAGTTGGAATCGACTTGGGGACCACCTACAGCTGTGTTGGTGTCTGGCAAAACGATCGCGTCGAGATTATTGCCAACGACCAAGGCAACAGAACCTCGCCCAGCTACGTGGCCTTCAACGATACTGAACGCCTCATTGGAGACGCAGCAAAAAGCCAAGCTGCAATGAATGCCACAAACACGGTGTTTGACGCCAAGCGCTTGATTGGGCGCAAATTTAGCGACCCAAGTGTGCAAGCCGACATGAAACATTGGCCCTTCACAGTCAAGGCTGGCCCCGGTGGTGCTCCAATCATTGAGGTTACATACAAGGGAGAAAAGAAAACATTCAAGGCGGAAGAGATTTCTTCAATGGTCCTTGGGAAGATGAAAGAAGTCAGTGAAGCCTACCTGGGCAAGGAAGTGCAGAACGCCGTCATTACGGTGCCAGCCTACTTCAATGACAGCCAGCGTCAGGCGACCAAGGACGCAGGAGCCATTGCCAACCTGAATGTGCTTCGAATTATCAACGAGCCAACAGCCGCAGCCATTGCGTATGGCCTTGACAAGAAGGGAGCAGAGAAGACTGTCTTGATCTTTGATCTGGGTGGTGGAACCTTTGATGTTTCTCTCTTGACAATCGACGACGGCATCTTTGAAGTGAAGGCAACAGCTGGTGATACCCATTTGGGCGGAGAAGACTTTGACAATCGCATGGTGGACTACTTCCTACAAGACTTCAAACGTCGCTTCCGCAAAGACATGTCCAAGAATCAACGTTCTCTTCGCCGTCTACGAACCGCGTGTGAAAGAGCCAAGCGCACGCTGTCTTCGTCGACCCAGGCACATATCGAACTCGACTCTTTGTTCGATGGTATTGATTACAATGCCACAATAACCCGCGCCCGATTTGAGGACCTCTGCATGGACTACTTCAAGAAGTGCTTGGAGCCTGTGGAGAAGGTACTCAAGGACTCTGGCATGGCAAAGAGCCAAGTCAATGAGATTGTAATGGTTGGCGGAAGCACTCGCATACCCAAGATTCAATCCATGTTGTCTGATTACTTTAATGGAAAGGAACTTTGCAAGTCTATCAATCCCGATGAAGCTGTTGCCTATGGCGCCACAGTCCAGGCTGCGATTTTGTCTGGAGGTGCGGCTAAATCGGACAAGCTCAATGACGTCCTCTTGTTGGACGTGACTCCTCTTTCCCTTGGTTTGGAGACGGCTGGTGGTGTCATGACCACTTTGATCAAACGCAATGCGACAGTCCCCACAAAGAAGTCACAGATCTTTTCCACGTACGCGGACAACCAGCCTGGCGTGTTGATCCAAGTCTTTGAGGGCGAGAGGACCATGACCAAGGACAACAACTTGCTCGGAAAGTTCAGTCTCGACGGTATTCCACCAATGGCTCGCGGACAGCCCCAGGTGGAGGTGACTTTTGACCTGGATGCGAACGGAATTCTCAACGTGTCGGCGGTAGAAAAGTCGACGGGCAAAGAGAACAAGATCACAATCACCAATGACAAGGGACGCTTGTCTCAAGAGGAGATTGACAAAATGATCTCCGACGCGGAAAGATTCAAGGCTGAAGATGATGTCAACAGAAACAGGATCGAAGCCAAGAATTCCTTGGAGAACTACAGCTACATGCTGAAGACTTCGATCAGTTCCGATGAGGTCAAGAACAAGATTCCCGCGGAGGAAAAGGCCAAGCTAGAAGGCGCCATCGAGGACACTATCAAATGGCTTGACTCCCACAGTTTCGCCGAAGTTGAAGAGTACGAAGAAAAGCGAAAGGCGTTGGAAAGTATTGCAAACCCAGTCTTGCAGCAAATGGCTGGTGGAGCCAGTGGAGTGCCTGACATGAATGCGGCGGCTGCCAATCCTGGAGCGGCTAGTGGCCCTGAAATCGAGGAAATCGACTAAAACCCGTATCAAACACATGGACTCAGACCAGGATCAAGCAAACCCTTGAACCAATGGGAGCTAGCAGTTCCAGGTACTGGCAGGTTGTAGGAAAGAATAAAATAGTATTCGCAAGAAATTAGTACACAGTAAACAAACAGATTGAATTCGACTTCAGGTAGCTCGTGTTTTGTGTCGTCGTGTGGATACTGCCATCACGTGCTCCTTGAGTTGTGGCTTGTTTGGGATCTCTGTTGATTATCTATCTGCATCGTAGGCAAAGGTGGGAACGTGTACGCTGGCTTGTGGGGTGTCTTGAAAGCTATGCACTATGAGCCATCTCCCGTCTAAAGATCCGATCATCATGCAAGTTATCGAGTGAAGGCCTGGTACGGGTGCAGGGATGAATGATTGGTCAATGAGAAGGCGTCATTTGTTTGGTTGACCGTTGCAACAAACTCTTGGTCAAGCAGGGAAAGGGGGGAGATTGACTCGATTAGACTCGAATCACTGTTCTACCGTTTCAAGATAAACTCATTTCCCCCATCCCCATACCGTACCGGTACCAAGAGAAGTTCGCATCCAATGAGAGGTGCGCTTCCAGAAAGAAACGGTGAAACGGTGAAACGGTGCGTTGTCATTATTTTTTCAGCATCTTCCTGATACCGGTATCTACTGATCCTACATCCTACATCCTACATCCAACAAGCTTGCAACCAACATGTCTACCGCTGTCCGACAACGCAATGTGAAGCCTGTTGGCAATGGAACAGCTGGCTCATCTCATTTGGATGTTTCCATGGGAAATGCGACCACGAAGAAGTCCGATGCTAGTTCCCACAAACAACAACTGCTCTTGGCCAGTTTGATATCGCGCAAGAATGCCGTCTACTACATTCCTCTGCTGGTCTTTTGCTACATTTTTGGTCCTACGGCCATGCATGCCCCCAAGGCGATATATGTGTGGGCATCTCATGGATTTGTGACCGAGTTCTTGTTGGGTGCCGGGATTAGAGATATGGTCGGCAGCTTGGTGGTAGATCCGAATCAACTCATGGTGGGAGATGTGAATCCTCCCACGCCCTTGGCCGCTTACAAGGATATT